CAAGGCATGGTGTCGAAAATTTAAAATAATACAATACGATGAAGAGAAACTTGATTTCGAATGAATTAAAGTTTGTCTAACTCTCTCTTGAACCGGTGAAATAGTGGCGCTTCTGCAAGGAGTAACATCGTAATTTCGAACCACTTTCGGCTGTATTCCACTAGTTGGCGACAAACCGGCAGCAGTATATCCGCACTCATCTTCTTGTTCTAAAAGAGGCATATTTTCGAATGTTTCATTATGACTGCACATCCAATGAGCAAATATTATATTCGCTTAATCCCTTTCAGTTCAAGAGATCTGTTCGAAAGATATCAGAGTTCAGCTTCAACCACACACAAATATTCTCCATTAATCACTTGGTTCATAAAGTATAGTAAGAGTTAGATGAAACAGTCGAACGATGAAGAACACAGCGAAACAGGTATGCTAATAGGTAAGTTCAAGTGATTATCAATAAAAGTGCGTGCGATGAGTATACATCAGTTATAAGGACACAAACAAATACAATCTGTTAGGAAAGGAAAAGCAGATGAAAAGTGCAATAGTTCTCGGATGGATTGCTCATCGAATGCAAACGGATAAATACTCATAAGGCCTGAATTGGGTAAACATTGGGATAAACGGAGAAAGAAGGGAAAGAAGTGCCTCCAGAGTACTCCTTTCGTATCATTTCAGCTTAAGTATTGCTGAGACCAGACACCACTTCAAACAATCTGCTAACAAATACGACTAACAAATCGACCGATTCAAAGGGAAATCAGTTGGAAGCCGTTGCAAAGTTTTGATGCCGCATAGCGTTTAGAGTGATTCAAAAAAACACAATGACCAGATTGATCGTTAAAACAACAACTTTCAGAATGTTGTTCGTCGATCTAAATCTTACGTTTCAGTCGAATCAGTGTGTAAAAGTTACTTTCGTTTCACATGAACAACATCGACGTATGTTCGTAACCAAGCAAGCAATCGTACCTCTACGTTTATAGCTTTCATCGTATTCGTTACCACGATAACTCTGTTGATTTCGTTGACGTGCGTTTCGTTCGACTTCAGGTATGAAATCGGACAATTTACCAGGTTCTGGCTTATCATGCATTGATGTAACTCGATAATCCGCATTATTCGATCTGGGACTACTGCGGGTTGAATTCAGCGATGAGCCGAATGGAAGTGAGCTCTCGAAGATGGCCGAATCCGTTGATGAACCGAACGTAGAGCAACGATCCCGAGGTGCTGCTTCAAAATCAGCGCAACAATCGTCGTCATAAGGCGATAACGACGGTGAACGAGTGGATGCTGGTCGCGAGGACGCGGCCGAATGATCCGCTTGAAAGCCGTATCGGACACTGCTCGTGACTGCATCCAGCTTATTAATGTTGCTCATTTGATGATCAACTAGTGGCGCTAAAATCACAACATAATATGACACAACAATGATGAAGCTAAAGCATACTCACTCAACTCTTTGCATCTCGTCAAAACAACATTGCAAACAAGCACGGATGCACAGAGTTCTCGCTTATCTTACAACCACTACGAAACATCAAACTTCCATTCACGGAATCCATCCACACGGAATGGAATATTACTATTACGCTACTCCACCTTTCCAGTTCTGATGCTTCTTGAACGAAACAATTTCAAGCTTTCAAAAGTTCAGTCAATAGATAAATTTTCATATGAGGCACTGGAAAAGGCTATTTGGATGGACTCAATGATTAGTCACGTACATGATGTATCACGACCCGATCGGTTGTAACTTCGCTGATTTCCGGCAGTGTATGTATGAAATTCAATTATTTCACTAAGCTACACAGGTATGCAGCTCTTATGAATCTGCGCTAGATATAAACCGACCCCGTTTCCAAGGCCATCAAGTTTTGAGCAAAGCTTGAAAATTCATTGCTTAAGCTTAAAGCGCTGGAGAAATGAATAATCGAAACATGTGAAGCTGGAAAGGAACAGAGTAGCGGATGTATCATGCAAAATAACGGTCATTTTTATTCATCACATCCACCATGCAGTTGAGCGGCTAGCAGTCATGAATCTTTTATTAGAATCGAATCAACTGGAGAATGTTGTGATGATGAAGAGTTGTGTTACGAACCGTTTGCATCTGTGATCGGCGTGGGTCCGTTTGACTGGTGTTGTAACGTTGATGTAGATAGTGCACGAGGAGCCACTGAAGAAGTCGGGTTCCATTTAAACGTTTGTTGTTTTTGTTTCTTGAGTTGCTTGAACTGATTGTAACTACTGCTAGCAATGTTCTCATCGTTCGTCTTTCTATCGAACATTGATCGTTTCTCATCGAATGAGACCAATCCATCGCCATTATAGCATTCTTGATGTTGTTGGCGTGTTGAACGAGGTGATGTGATTACCATCGTTTCTAATTCATTGTGTCCTTCAATATGATCACGCTTCACTGTTTCTGGAAACTCATTCAATATTTTCTGCAACCTACCTCGCTTTCACAAGAGGGTCACACACGGACAGCTTCACTAAAAACACAAGCTACACAGGTATGCATCACATACGGATAGCTCCGCTAAAAGCGTAAGGTCATATGGACAGCTCCACTAATCTGAGATTTGCATAATTGACGGTCTCAGTAACGTTCATCCCATTAGCCTTAGGAACGCTCGGTGAGGCTAATCTGGTGAACATTACTCACAGCAGTAAGGCTTTCCGGTGGAACTGTGAATGAGCGTGATGATTATGCGCGAAGCACTTCAACAGTGCTTTTTTTTGAACCATCTGATCGCATTAAAGGGAGTGCAATTTGTGTTTAAATTTAAACCAGCCGTGAAGAGACAATATTCATTCATTTCGCTTAAAAAAACGCCTACGACTATTTAGAGAAATTTTTTCGCTGAACATTGCTTATGTTCTCTTCAATGAACGTTTCACGTTTACGGTTAGCAGATTGCGAAAAAATTCGCACGCAGTCATGAGCAGTGACGAATCGACATTCTGAATTGGAACGCTTCAAGAAAGGAATATGACAGCTGCCATGGCAACGCTGATATTTCTATGAAATAACATTTATGAAAATTGTACGGAAATTACAATGAATTCTATTGGCAGTTCCAAAGTTAGCGATATGAACTGAATTGAGCGCAAAAAAAATCGAATGTAAAAGCACTCTTTACCATATGGTGGTCTCCTGATTTTGACTTCTACTTCACCGAGACGTGCCGCCTCGTGGATCATTCGTATGACACTTTGAAGATAACGCTCTTCTACCGATTCACCGTTTATACTCAAAATCAAATCGCCAGCCTTAAAATTCAATTTGGTTGTAGAATTTCAAAGATTCGAAGAATATTACCAATCGTTAGGGAAAATTAGACGCGATAATGTTTGGCATTTTCAAATATCAACTGGAGAACAGCAATACGACTCATTGCTCACGTAAAATTAATGAAGCCGAGTTGATGAACAGTCGATGAACTAGAATTCACGATCAACAACATAATGAAGTGAACCTTTAGACCACACTCGTCAGCTGGAGTTCCACGAATAACGGTTTCGACTCTCAGTGCGCTGTCTTTGTCTTTGCCACCCGCAACAGTAAATCCGAAATATTTATGTGGATTCGTAGTGTGATGACCCAAATCAATGTTAAAAATCATCACATCATCGTCAGTAACATTCTCGTCATTCAACTGCAACGGGTTATTTCATTTGCATCCTTTTATAAGGTAGCAATCATTAAGATCGTGAGCAAAATAACGACGATCAACCACAAATATCCTTTCTCTGACGATAACGATGATGATCTTTTCATGATGCAAATCGCAAACGAACAAAAGACAAACGAATATTTTCGTTGCACTTTCAACAGATGCATGCGTCAACTATTATTCATTAAAACAACATTTCGAACGCATTTATCAAAACAACAATTCACCAATTCTTTCGTGCATTCTTCGGTACCATTACACCAAAAAACGTTCATTATTTGCAAACGATTTTCTTCATTCACAATTAGGGTAATGTTATGCGTTCATTTGGGCATTTATGTAACAAACTCATTTTCACACTGGAACACGAACGATGTTTCATTCATCATTGAAACAATACTTTTTGGGTCGATCTCTTATTCTTCAACATAACTCTAAACTTCAAATAAGACATTCTCAAGGCACAGAGTTTCGAATCAAACTATTTCTGCGATCAATGTATAATTATCCTTTTTCGCGCTCAATTGAAATAGCCAAGAAATGCATATTGGATGAAGACAGGAAATACATACCACTGATCTGTTGAATTGGTCCTTGCTTTCATCACGGTAGGAGGATATTCCAGAGAAAGTGTTACCGAGCGGAACATGCACTGTGTTCATTGCCGATGCACTGTTCGCTGTTTTCGTTACGTTCTCCTGAATACATCGCACAATTCAGAAATGTACACAAAACTATACCCTTTTCAAAACAGTAAAAGTGAATGAATCTTCAACCACAGTTGATATCCGTTAATGGGCACGCTATCGTAAGAGCGTAGCATCGTAGATCGCTGATTCACTAAAATATATTTCTGTTGCGATAAAAATAATCCGTCATCAGCATCACTGACGAAAAA